AAGTGAATAATGTGCTTTCATTTTTTAAGAGACAAAAATTATCAACTATAATCATCAAGTACAATTGTCGCTGGTATGCACATGAATGCTTAGACTTGTAGACTCCATACTGATTGTGTTGCGAATATATATGGTTATTCTTATACAATACCGAACAAAATATGGGCACTCTTTAAAACGCAGTATCTGTTTTATAACTTGAACTGAATAACTAGATTTTTTTTAAATGATAGACTAGTTTACTACACAATGACTATAATGCTTTTTTTTAATTTTGCTATTTGTATTAGGAATGACAAAAAGGATAAAAATACTCATATTTTTTAACTTTTTTATCTGAGCCTATAACGAAAATTTAAAAGATACGTTTTGTAGTTTCTGGTCACTTGTATGCGTACTGAAAATTTCATCGAAATCGGTTAACGCAAAGTCAAGTTACAATCATTGAAAGATCTTAAAAACTGCAGATTTCTTACACTTATTGATTGAAAATGTCAAAAATTGGGACAAAACTACGATGTTCGCGATCTTCAATTCTTTACAGCTCGTCTCAAGATCGACCGATTTCGATGAAATATTCAGCATGCACGTAAGTTGCAGAGTTCTAAAAAACCCATGTTTTAAATTTTTGTCATAAGATCAGATGAAAAAGTTAAAAAACGAGAGTTTTTTATTTTTTTGTTGTTCCAAATAATAGCAAAATTAAAAACGAAGCATTATAGTCATTGTCTAGTAGACTAGTCCCACTATCATTAAAAAAAAATTGTAATTGTTTAGTTCAAGTTTTAAAATAGATATTGCATTTTAAATAGGATCCACATTTTGTCCGGTACCGTATGTATGTTTCACCAGATCACATCGTCGTCGATCACTTCGAAATTATCAACTAAAGAATGAAAATAAAAAAGGAAAAATAGTATATATAAGATCAGCAACATGTACAAAGAAGCATGTATATAAACACAACAATATCACCCGTATCTATAGAACCATATTTTTTAAAACCCTTAATGTAGAGATGTGCCATTTTTCAACTTCCTTGGATCACATTGGATGAAAAGAAAAAAGTGAGTAGCATTGTTTTCCTTATATATATATCGTAAGAATGGAAAGGAAAAAAGAGGCATCGCGGTATAGATTAAACTTAAATATGTTCAATATGTAAATAATATATGTAATAATAATAAATATGTAAAATTCGTTAAATATGAATATATGTACAGGGAGAAGAGAATCTTCACTAATGTGCTGCTAACAGAATATATTATTAACGATTCAACAAGGAAGTCGAAATTATGAAACAGTTTCTCAAGAAAGTCGCACCTTAAAGTGACTGCGTTATTAGTGGATAGACATCATTTGCAAAAATAAGTTAACACGTTAAGCGCGGAGCCGATTTTGCTGGGTTTTCCGTTGAGGCGGCAGGCCAGCATTATTTTTTACATCAAACGATAATTAAGCGTTCTAACAGAAATGGATATTGAAAAGGTATCACGATCTTGTGAAGATTGCGTCTGACAGAGTCGATTGTAACGTTATAATCGACCCTGATTGACGGTTTTATAATCGTCCCCGTCTGTGCTTTCAAACTCTGATTATAAATTGTTATTAACACGTTAATAACAGTTCTTCGTTGAGACGGCAGGCCAGCATTGTTTTTTAACTTTTATACTGCCGGTCCCATGCGTCAATGACGTCCAAACGATAGGTTCGCTGTCAGTTCCTAAGAAATGACACCGCCCTAAAAAGGTACACTGTCAGCCCAAGAAGACTGAAACCGACCAAACGGAAAGTCCACTATCAGCCCCAGAGNGAAATACGAAAGTGTAACATAAACACGAACTCTGGAAATGATTATAGGTACGTTCTCAATTTTTTAAAATTACAATTTGTCTATTTGTTAGATCTGTTAACACGTTAAGCGCGGAGCCGATTTTGCTGGGTTTTCCGTTGAGGCGGCAGGCCAGCATTATTTTTTACATCAAACGATAATTAAGCGTTCTAACAGAAATGGATATTGAAAAGGTATCACGATCTTGTGAAGATTGCGTCTGACAGAGTCGATTGTAACGTTATAATCGACCCTGATTGACGGTTTTATAATCGTCCCCGTCTGTGCTTTCAAACTCTGATTATAAATTGTTATTAACACGTTAATAACAGTTCTTCGTTGAGACGGCAGGCCAGCATTGTTTTTTAACTTTTATACTGCCGGTCCCATGCGTCAATGACGTCCAAACGATAGGTTCGCTGTCAGTTCCTAAGAAATGACACCGCCCTAAAAAGGTACACTGTCAGCCCAAGAAGACTGAAACCGACCAAACGGAAAGTCCACTATCAGCCCCAGAGGGCTGACGCCGCGCTTAACGTATTAAGTACAACCTTATTTTTTCTATAAACAATTCGAATTATTTGAAAACAATGCAACCATATTCATACGTGCTTCTAATGCTATTACTGTTACACGTTTCACCTATTCATTCCTTCATCCTATTCATAGACATAATGGTAATAAAGTTGTTTTTTGGAACATGAAGGTACAATTGATAGCGACAGCGAAATAGAATGATACCTACAGTCAGTCAAAAAAGATTTCGGTGCTAATTCTACTTCACGTAAGAAGTTCAACTTCTAAACAAAAATAGGGAAGCTCAGCTAGCTTCAGCTTCTAAACAATAATCAGGAAGAAGTGAAGATACAATTGTTGAAGCCTCATGGCTCATTTTTATAGTTGTTAAAAATCGGCGACATTAAAACCGAGCCGCGAGAATTGAATAATCATATCTCCTCTCTCCATTTGAGAGAATTTATTGTACATTGTGTATTTCCTTTCGGGATTCAAAGTATGGACTCTGAAATTCTTTGTATTATACACAAACTGCGACTACGGCCAATGTGCTGTCTTGTCTATCGCATAGGAATTTAAGAGTGTACAATTTCTTACGCTACATTGAATTTTGCCGATATGTGTACGTGTAACCGAAATCCAGAACCGAAAAATAACAGTTATAGAACCGATATAATACCGGTTCCCAAGAACTAAAATCGAAACCGATATAAACCAGAACAGATATCCCTCATAACTGTTATGAAGTTTTTTTGGTTTTCTGTTTCAATCGGAATCGATATACTATAACAGTTTGAAAGAGCTATCTCCAGAATCTTTTTAATCTCTGCTAGTCAATCTATCATCTAAAAAAAATTCAGGTTATTTAATGAAGTTTTAAAAAAGTTCTTGCGTTTTAAAAGGTGTACGGAGACCTTTTTGGCTGACTGTATACTGTTTATACCAGTAGCTGAGCCACGGGTAGCGATAACAGTAGTGGTACTGATAATAATGGCAAATTTCGTATTGGCAGAAGGTATGTGCATAACAAGGCGATAGAGATTGCAGTGGGTGCAAGCTGTAGCAGCAGCAATACGCAACTATGGCGATGATGACAATAGCGATATCTTTGATAGTGACAGTAAACTACGTATCTGAAAGGAACGGGAGGAATTACTGCGATATTCATGATAGTGTTGGCAGCAGCAGGGGCGGTAATATTAACAATTACGACAGCGACGTCTTTGGTGAGGTTGGGAGGGGTTGCAATCGTGGTGGTGATAGCGATAGCGTTGACAGTTGCAGCTGTAGCATGTCTAATAATGTTGGCATATTTGGTGGTGTTTGGTCCTGTTGAAGTAGTGGCGATAACAGTGACAGTGTTGGCGATAGTGCTGCCGATACCGGTAGCGATATTCCTGATAGGGGTGGTAGGAGGTCCAGTGGCAATAATAGTTACATGCATGACGGAAATGATTGCGGTGGATACAAGCTGAAGCAGCAGATATTACAGTGGCGCCTGGTAATGGTGTTGGCCATTTTTGTTGTAGCGTCGGATTTTTGGCGGGGTTTAGAGTGGTGGTGTAGCGGAGATTATGTTGATAGCGATGGTGGTAGCACCGATAGCGTTCATATTGGCAACAGCGTCGACGGTGGCGGTGGCGGCGGCGACAGTGACAGCGGCGGCAACGGTGGTGGCAATAGCGTTGACAGTGGCGACGGTGGTGGCGATAGCGTTGACAGTGGCGACGGCGACGACGGTGGCGGCGACGGTGACGGTGGCGGTGGCGATGGCGGTGGCGGTAGCACTGGCGGTGTACTTTCTACGACGAAGAAAACGTATCGCTGACGAAGACAAGGCTAAGAGTTCGGGTTCGCTCGTTGTGGCTCGGGAACAGTCGTATCACCGCCTTGCCTGCCATGACTGGCCGGCCTCGGCCTCGCGGGGGGTGAGGTACCGCGACTACGAGGGAAGCTTCGGCGGTGAATACGGCGTCCTGATTGGTTGGCGCGTGGGAGAGCCGCCCGCCCGAGCTCTCTGTGGCCGGCAGTCGGCACCGAGCATCCAGACAGAGCACATCGAGCCATCGGAGTCGGTGTGATAGACGGAAACACGCACCTCGGGACCTTATCACGGGCACGATGGCCGTCCGGCGCGTGCACCGTCAACATCAACAACAAAAAACAACAACGTCGTCACCGTTGTCGGGGTGCGGTACTCGTCGCGCGTGTAATCCCCATTAAATCTGCATACACGGGAATTATAGAAGCCACATCGTGCACTTGACAAAAGTATCGTGGGCCACCATCGTGCGGATACGTGGCGCGCAGATGGTGCACGCAATAAGAAACGAAAACAGAAAACGAGATCGCACGACGCACGGAATTTTCGCTACGCGCTTTAACCCGACGTACACAATCCGCCACTATATGCTACGTACTACGTCACGTTCCACGATATTACCTCCTCCTTGCCCTCTCGTTTCCAGCGCCCGTAACGCACCTCCTCTCCTTCTTGTGCGTCGGCCTTCCCACGCGGTCCTCGTATCATCGGTGAGATTACGTTTCGGTTAGTACGCGAGAAAAACGTGGCGCGACCGTTTTGAGCGTTGCTCGTTACCGTGCGTCGTCTAATTATTCTCGTCGTAACGCGTAATTTCCGCACATCCGTATATTTCGATCGTTGTGTTTTGACTGGTGGTGCATTTTAATTATATTCGTTGATCGCGCGTTCTATCCGGTGCAACGTTCTTGTGCCCCCCCCCCCCCCAAATTGTTCCGGGAAGTGTGTAGCCTTAACCTCCTCTGTCAACGACGGTGGCGACGGTAGTGTAAAGGCAAAAAGTGACGGTGACGGTGAACCATTATTTCTCTGTGTTTCATTCGATTGTATTCTATTCATCGTTCTGTGCGGCAAACAGTGAGACAAAAGGGCCCTGGTGTGTCTTTTCTGACGGTGGCAACGTTACCGAGTTACGCAAAGTATCATCCCGCGGTACAGTAGTCGCGGCTCCGTCGGATCGCTCGCAACAGCTCAACGTCGTCCCAGTCGATCGGAGACAGCGGTCATAGTCTCGCGGCCGGTTGCTGGATCGGGGGACCGGCATTCGAATTTCCCGCGTCGGCCGGTTCCGGCCGCCTAACCTCTCGTTAGTCCGGCGGACACACCTCTCGCGATAAATCAGTGGACAACGAAAGACAGGAAAGACGGTGGCCGTCGCTCGGCCAGCAATAATGCCGCACGTGAGCAGCAGCGGCGGCGGCGACGATCTCGGCAGCGAGGACGAGGTCAAGGTCTTCAAGGATGAGGGCGAGGACGAGAAGAGGTCCTCCGAAAACCTTACGGAGGAGAAAAGTTCCCTCATCGACCTCACAGAATCTGAGGTGCGTTCGGCAACTCCTTGTTTACCCGCCAATGATTCTCCATGCGAATCGCCTAGCGTCGCCTACGACCAATCGACGTCTTCCTTTATCCGTCTTCAAGCTCGTGACAGCCTAAGGACGTCGCCATTAAGTGCGTGCATGTGTGTTGCAGGAAAAGGGCTCGCTCGCCGGTGGAACTTATGCGACGACAGGCAAGACGTCCACGAGATCCGACCTCAGCCCCGTTTTCGGTAAGTCGAACCGAACCTTTTCCGTTACTCTAGTTTTTATGGTAGCAAAGGGAAAAAACGTATCGTTATACATTCTAGATTCTCGACGTTGTTAGCCTTTTGCGGACGACACATGCGGGAATCTGTGCGGGGATGTGTTTCATTTAGAAATATATGTTTTTGTTTACCGTAGTGAACGCAGTTTCAGTGTCGAGTATCATTCGATACTGCAAAGAATTAACTTAGAATTTACATTTACCGTAAACCTTAAAAACGCTTCGATGAAGGAACACGAAGGGTTTCTTCTTCCTATGAATTGAATAACTATTTTATTTCATTTGTGCTAATTTAATTTTGTACATATTGTACTTTTAAATGAAATGTGCAACTATAAAAGCGTTGACTGCGCCACCGAGACTGATAATAGTTGATAACATTCAAACAATTTAACCTTGGCTCAATCGACAATTCAATGCTGTATCATTTTGAATAACCTTAACAAAATCACAATTGCAGTTATATTACAGTTTCGATTCCAATTCAACATTACAAGATAGATCAACGCTTTGATATATTTATTTTCAAATATGTTCTCGCATTGTATTCGGGTGGCGGTTAATATTCTTTGAAGTTAATATTCTTCAAAATAAATACCCAACCTCACAGAGAAAATAGCGGTCTACTTGCTAGTTCGTTCGTTAAATACCTGGTAATCCATGTATAATCCAAATAAACTTATAATACGATCAACCGGAAGTTCCACGATATTGTCGCAACATCCGGCGGTAGTAGTTCGAAAGCGCTTCACCAAATTGACAATTTTTCGTGCACGCTTGGCAAAGAACTCGACTCCACGGAAAAGCGCGATTTCAGATACGCGATCGTATCACCGATAACGAGATCAGAAAGTCGTCAGACGTATATCTCCTGTCGGACGTTTATCGTTGGCTCGGCTATGAAATCTGATAACGTGTTATGATATTATATGCGTGTCGTGGGGGCCAGCTCTGATTCATATAAATTAACGTCATTGTAGGTGGTTATCTTACGATCTTGTAACGTAATCTACTCATGGCAAATCGCTTTTATGTCCTAATGATAATTTAGACGCTCGATTCAGTGTTCCAACGTTCCTGTCCACGCCGCGATCAACGATATCATAACGGGAATAAGATTATCGGCGTCGCGTTATCGTTTGTTGCACCGTATCTCTAGAAAACTACACTTTCCCGCGTTATTCCCCGTGATCTCGTTGGTGCATTCCCATTGAAAACGCAACTACCGGCTCGTCTCTTGTTAAATACACGTGCGTTTATCGTAGCAACAATTATTCTACCCGTGTTGCGACGAGTAATTGGAATTTCGCGATGGAACATCGATAAAATGCCGGTTTCATATATTTTTTTTCACCATATTCTCGTTCCGGCGACATTACCTTGTTACCGTCATGATAGTTGCGCCGTGCCGTTTGAAAATATCAACAAGAAAACTCTGTTGGTGCTGAACCGTTATTCTGTAACATTTTAGCGGCACTTTCTGCGTTTGCTGCGAAAAGCCGCTTACATTGTTAATCGTCCGAGTCCTAAGCAGCGCGATCTCACTGTTTAAATTTCGTGTTGAAAAGTCCCAGGAGATTTGAACGCTATGGACACAAACGATGATGCGCTCACAGACTGTCGAAGTAGCGCGCTCAACTTTACTATAATGCACGTACATCGCGTAGCTGATTTTTTTTAATGTAAATAATACAACTAACACATTTTATATTTCACTGTTGTATTCTTAATAATTTTTATTGAACAAAACTTGAAATATTCATAAATTAATAGTACGCATATTAAGACACGCGCTATCATGCTGTTCGGCATTTTTCGACCATGTTTGTTCAATGACCCCTGGGACTCAATAATTCAAATATAATTCAAATTTCTCATATAATCTGTAACAGATAAACTATTTTATGCCGCTTTAGAAGAAGCTTCGTTACATTTTTATCTAACGTTCTTGTGCAATGCAGAAAGTTTATGGGAACCAAGGAAATATTACTTGCAGTGAAATGTTTGAAAATAACAAATGTTTCCATGATGTAAATAACTGCGTAAGGTTTCAGTTTTCAAATTATCCACAGTTATTTTCATTTATCAAATTGTGATCAAACCGTATCTGTGAATTCCTTTCGGTATACTGCACCCAGAGTCCTAATGGCGACTCCGTTTTTTTGTTCGTGGAAACTGTCGAAGCGATCGCATTTTTCGAAGAAAACTGCTAGGCTTCAATGTGACCCTGTCCCTGCTTTTACAAAGGTACACAATACCGTTTCTATCTGTCGCTTCCAAATATGGCGACGCTTGGGTTCCCAGAAACGGCAATAAACTGCGTGCCTCCCCGACGTGTATCGCTCAAAAAAATTTCGTAGTTTATTGGCATTCGAAACACAATGATCTTCTCTGTTCCATTTTTTGCCTCGACACGATCTCAAAAGTTTCAGAAGTTTGTGCACAAAAACAAACATCTAGACATTTGAAATTTCAGAAACAGATCGGTAGTCCCTTGATATTTCCATTAGGAGTTGCATAGCTCTTCATAGTTCACATCTATGAATTTTTAATAAAATCTTTAGTGAACTATTCCATTACGATAAATACTCGTAAGATGAATTACATAGTTAAGTTAAAATAAAGTGACAAGTAAATTTACATAGTTTATCAACATTTGCAATGAGATGCAGTCAACCATCTTATAACAAGGTTAATTGTTTGCGCCTTAAAAGGAACCTAGAACTAATACAAATCAGGATAATCTGTCCCGTGCTTATTCTCCGAGTGCTGTGTCGTACAGTAAGAGAAATTTCAAAACAATAGAAATCTAAAAAATTTGTTTAAAAGTATTTTTAATGATTCCATATAACGGCAACCAACATTGAGTATTTTTGTAAAGGACAAATTCCAACAGTGCTCAAAACTTGTCAGACACGTATATACGTCTGAATGCACGTCTAAAGTGAACCCTGTCACGATGGAAACAATTTTGCTGTCGATATGAACTATTCCTAAAAAAGAAAAGAATCGTGTTATTGGACTACCGTGTTGTAAACGGACTGTCGCAATGTTTTCACTATGTTGAAACTGTGTTCCGAAAATCATAGGAGCGCCTGTACTTTGAAAGAGACACGCAACTTTGTAATTCATAAAAGAACATTGTGCAAAATTATTGGTATCGGTAAATGAAAAATGAAAGGAAAGTCTAGTCAGTTCGATAAAACATTTAAAAATTTCCCATGATCATTTTTCATCTTCAAAATTATTTACTCTTATGGTATAGTTCCTCTATACATTTTAATACTCTGCAGAGAGCAATATTTATTCTCCAGAAGGTTGATTCGAATTTTAATGCGGCAACAATTATGTATATCGAATTATAAAAATTTCTCAACATGCGTTTCTATTTGTAAAAGGTTTACGGTATTGGCAGAATTTATAAACGTTTCGAAAATTCATTATAATTCTCTTTCACCGTTTAGCACGTTGCGTATTCAAACGAAAAATAACTGAAAGAAT